AAAAATTGTTCTACCTGAACTAGTAACTGCCTAACTGGCTTTGCTTCATCAAATTCACTACAAAACCTTTATTCTAGCCCTAGCAGCAAAGACATTTCTCAGCTCAATTTGGAAATTGTACGGTGTGAAATATCCTTTGCTTTCCGTACTCCTTGAACTCAAGCTTCACGCAATGACGCCTGACTTGAAGACAAAGAAATGGTGAGTTGCCCAGCGGTGTGCTGCCAGATAGACCATTCGATGATCAAGTCAGACCACCTGAAGAAGAAGAGAGCACTTTTTAGAGAGAAAGAGAATTATTCAGATTGCTTACCTCCAACGTCCCCCATTCCTCCTTTTTCTAGGCTGGCCATGCAGCCTCAAGGATTATGCGCGCACTACCTCTGCTGTCCTTCCGTGGATAGGTGGCAGTGCTCCCCTCTCATTACCTTACGCGTGTAAAGGCTAAAACCTCCAAATAGCATGTGTGGAGCTATCAAACGGTATTGACGCGTGCTGGGAGTGGATTTCCCCTCCATCACACCATTGGTCTAGGTGGCACACTCAACCGGGATATCATGACCGACCTATCCCTTGGGAAGAAACACAACCATGATCAATACGGCCGAGCTGTAGGAAGTTCATCTTTCCGGGCTGATTGGCCGTGAGGCGTGCCAACCTTCACCCCGGTCTAAATTCATTCCGGGATATGCTTGCCTCGGTCCAGACGCACCATTGTAGATCCAACTGAATATCTAGCCGAATCACAACCCGGTCGGGCACACGCATGATTCCACACTCCGGTCGACAAATCTACCTCGGCCCTGTGTGACAGACCGGGGAACTGCTCCGACCGAGCAAATAGTGTAACCCAGTCGCTCCGTTATAACTCGCGTTACTATAGCTCGGCCGTACTTGTCCGGCGCAAATCTCCCTCTCAATTGCCCCTTAATTCCATCTGAGCTGAGCGTGATTGGGATTACCGCCATGACCAAGCTATCCTATTTGGTTGGTCTAGTGAATTGCGCCAGTAGTCTTGTCATCGATCGTACAGCCTTACTGACAGAGCCCTCTTTTCGATGCCACGTAACTTCACACCATTGGACCCGTACAGCCTCACAACTATCTTCCTCACGCGCAAAATTCAAACGGTTGCCGCCCTTTGGCTTCCCCCCTCCTTCATATACGCACACGAGGGGTCACATACGCCTTTACTGTTCATCTTCTCTCTCAAGCCAAACCCTAGCCTCCAAGCTTCTGCCATTATCGCCATTACTGCTCTTCGCCTCATTTTCGTCCATTTCTGTTCCTCCAGAAGCTACAATCAAGCTCGTGGTTCATTGATCTCTTCTTGGCACCCAATATCGGTAAGTCTCTCTACCCCTCCCTCGTATTTTTATGTCAGTGTTCTTCGTGTTCTTCGTTTATGCTTTTCAAGTTCTTTATTTGGGACTGTTGGTACTCTACTAGTCCCCTCCCCTTTTTTTGCATAAAACCTATACACTCTAAGGAAAACTGGAATTAAAGAAATGGATGGGGCCTTCGTGCCCCTGGTTTCCCTTAGCTTCGATATATGAACTTCATGTTCGGGATGAACAGAACGAGCTCTGGGTAGGGACCGAGGAAAAGCCAACATTTAGATCCATAGATAGGGTTCAGTCGAGCTAAAACTTGATTGAGGTCTCTTCTTGGGGCCTCGACCGAGCTGAAAGCAGGAGCCGAGCTAGGAAGGCCAAATCGGCCAGTTAATTGAGCCGAGGTAGAGTCAGACCGGTCAAACGCCCTAGAAAACTTTTACCGAGCTACGAACATCCACGTAGGAGCCGTGCAATTTATGTCGCGCTAACCCTTGGACTTATTTCTTAATAATGCAGAACAAACTAGGATCGACCAGGCCCGTTCAGCGTCACCAATGGTGAAGCTCAAAGTCCGAGCAAACACACAAAAACTTTTCACCGAGATACGACCTAAGTCATCCCAATAAATAAAATCGGGATAGATGGAGAAATATCGGTTCATGGTGAGTTCTCCCGGGGTACTAGCCAAGTTCCGTAAAGAGTACAGTATTCCAGATGATGTCCACTTAGAGCTTGCCAAGAAGGAGACACTCCCTGGGGCGAGCTAGACAAATGCCCCTTTACGGTGGTGTCCATAGTAGAAGGAGGCCTGCGCTTCCCGGTCCAACCGCTGATCTGTGAGTTTTTGAGGCAGACAAGGTTATGCCTGACCCAAGTCTCCAACAATACATACAAAATAATAAACGGTGTGGCCAAGCTAAATAGAATACTCGGTCTGAATCTCGGCCTCGCCGAGATATTTCACCAATATAGTCTTAGCAAAAATAAAGGTGCGCTTTGCTGGTGTCTGAAGGTTAGGAAAGGTCGAGCAAAACTCATCGAAGGTAATCCGAACAAAAAAACCAACGATGATGACTTCCTGTGGGTGTCCGGTCGTTATGAGGACACCGAGGCGCCCATACCAGGCTGGTACATTAGGAAAGATTTTGGGAGTGCCAGTGAGTATCTCGGCGAATCATATTATTTTCTTTCTGTATTGGTCTTCTTGTTGCCAATCTAACACTTGTCTTCTTTTTGCAGATTATAAGCTCTTGGCAGAGGATTACTCCCGCGCTAACCACGAAGCTATAAGGGTTTTGCTGCGTCATCCGGCTGAGGAGTGAGAATCACCAAAGCTGCTCAACTTCGAACCGAGCTACCATTACACGGCGCTGCGCAAGAGCAGGGTGACCGACTTTCTGTGTGCGCCCTCTCCAAAACCAGATCCAAGCCTTCCACCGATCAAACTGGTCCCTTTGACGGTCGAGCAAGAAATGGCGAAGATCCGGGCTATCAAGTCAATGATCATCGGTGAGGCGAGCGACTCCCAGCCACCGGAGGCATCTGGGGGGACTTCTTCCACATCGGCCGTGCAAGAGGAGGGGGCTATGTTGGCTCTAGCCAGCGAACAAGCTGCGGGTCGGTCGAAGAAGAGACTGAGAAAAAATCAAACCGAATAACATCTGGCCGACGAGGATTCAACCGAGCATGCTTCAACTGACTTTTGGCCGTGCAAGAGGAGGGGGCTATGTTAGCTCTAGCCAGCGAACAAGTTGCGGGTCGGTCGAAGAAGAGACAGAGAAAAAATCAAACTGAATAACATCTGGCCGACGAGGATTCAACCGAGCATGCTTCAACCAACTTGGGGGACCATACTGAGCAACCGATCATCGGGCCATCCACACGATCCAGTGCCCCCCCGGTCTGGTCGCCCGAGTTATCATACAAAGGTCGGACTGTCTCTACTGCGGATTTAGTCTACGCGGACAAGGATTACTCTCTTGGCTTCAACATGACCAAGGGGCTGCTCCTTCCCGCCGACATGAAAAAGCACGAAGAGCTATCTAACCTGAAGGTGCACCGCTCGGTCGCAAAGTCAATAGTTTTGGTAAGTTGGCAGTCACTTTGGTTGTCAAGTTGTTGTTCGGTTTTTCCATTCTGATAATCTTCATATGTTTTCAGGCCGCGCAGAAGAACTACCTAGCCCACGAGCGAATGATTGGCGTGCGGAAAAGTCTGTGGGAGACAATTACCAACAACAAGGCCAAGACGGCCGAGTTGACTAAACTGAAGGCCACGCAGGAAGCGGCGGAGGCCGAGTGCGACAAATTGACTGAACGGTTGGCCCGGGCCGAAGAGGACAAGCAGAGGGCCCTTCAGCTGACCAAGGCTTGCTACATCGCCGAGCTGCGTAAACTCCGCAGCGCCCACGAAATCGAGCGGGACAAGGCGGTCGACGATGTCGAGGACTGTGGCTATGCGGAGGGCGAAAGGGCTTACGAACGGCAAGTTTAGGGGACCAAGGACATCTTTTTCCAGTGCAGTTGGAAGGCCGCCGTGGACAAACTTGGCCTTGGTCAGGACGCCGAGGTATTCCAAAACCCGCCCACTGCCTTCATTCCGGTTTATATACAGGCTTACGCAAGCGCCGTGCAGAAGAGGCTTATTAAAGAAGCAAAGCAGGCCGCTGAAGCAGAAGCAACCGCGTGTAACCAGTCGAGCAAAATCCTTCTGAAGTTTCTGAAGGGGCCGAGGATCGAGAGGCCGAGCAGGAAGTTGTCGCAGTGGTTGATGCTGAGGTAGGAGTGGCCTAACAAGATGCTCTTGTAGACTTGGATTGATCTTCTTTTTGCCCTTTTTGTTTATTTTTTTTTTTGTTTTTTTGAATGTAACGGGACTGGGCCCCACTTTTGTAATCAATGAAACCGTTAACTCTTTGCCCGCTATGTATCTATTTTTGTTATGCCTTCTGTATGATAAGTAAATCTTCTTCGATTTGGAATGTTTGTCGAATATAAGTTATAGCCCGGCTCATGACGGAGCCAATTGCACATTACTTTGACCGAACAAGTTCCAGCTAGGAGTGAGCAAAATCAACTCGGCCATGGACCTGGATAGCCCAAGCATCCATTGCCATAGGCGAGCAGAAATCAGATCGGCCCCGATGCAAGTGGGCAATACGCCAACGTTTCACTTGGGCGAGCGAAATCAGCTCAGCCCTTTCTACAATCTGGATGAAACACCGACATCTCATTTGGGCGATCAAAAATTAGCTCGGTCCCTATGTGAGTTGGACAAAATGCCAACATTCTATTCAAGCGAGCTAAGTCAGCTCGACCCCTATACCAGTTGGACAAAATGCCAATATTTCAATTGGGCAAGCAAAAATCAGCTCGACCCTTATGCAAGTTGGACAAGACACCAACATTTCAATTCGGGCGAGCAAAGTCAGCTCGACCCTTCTGTAAGTTGGAGAAGACGCCAACATTTCAATTCAGGCGAGCAAAGTCAGCTCGACCCTTTTGCGAGTTGGACAATACACCAATTGTTTTACGGTCTTTGTCAAACCATTGTTGGCTTCTTGCCCCTAGCATTCATAGTGGCCCAATATCCTTGTGATGTCATCGTACAGAAACACATAATATAAGAAAAAAGCAGGGCTATCTTTCATTATATGTCAGCAATTTACATCAAATTCCAAAAGGCTAAAGGTTCAAAAGGCTAAGGAACAAAAACGATTACATTTCAAAAGTAAAAAATTTTAAGATTGGCTGCATTCCATGGTCTAGGGACAGCTTTACCATCTAAGTCTTCTAGATGGTATGCCCCTTTGCCAGCAAGGCTAGTTACCTTATACGGCCCTTCCCAATTTTCACCGAGTTTGCCTTCGCTCGGGATCACCGTGTTGCCCATTACCTTTCTCAAGACCCAGTCTCCGATCTTGAATAGCCTTGGATGCACAGCCTTGTTGTATTTCCTGGAGAGCTCTTGCTGATAGGCTGCTATGTGGATCAGAGCCCGTTCCCTTCTTTCTTCAACTAGGTCAAGTTTCAAGGCCACTGCTTCATTGTTTAAGTTTGGCTGAAAACTTTCAGACCGGATGGTTGGCACGCCGATTTCTAGTGGGATGACGGCCTCCATGCCATTGGCCAAGGAGAATGGTGTTTCCTCGGTCGAGCGCTTCGGCGTGGTGCGGTACGCCCAAAGCACATTGGGGAGTTCTTCAGCCCACTTTCCTTTGGCTCTCTCTAGCCGCTTCTTCAGTCCGTCGAAGATGGTCTTGTTTGAGGCTTCTGCTTGACCATTTGACTGAGGGTAGGCCGGTGTTGAGTTGTAGAACTCGATCTTTAACTCCTCGCAAAATCCACGAAAGAGTTTTCCATCGAACTGAGTGCCATTATTCGATATGAGGGCCTTCGGCATACTAAAGCGAGTGATGACATTTTGCCAAACGAACTTCTTCACATCTTTTTCCTTTATGGTTGCCAATGGCTCGGCCTCAACCCACTTGGTGAAGTAGTCGGTAGCAGCAATGAAGAACTTGCGGTTGCCCGGAGCTGCTGGGAGTGGTCCTACAATATCCAATCCCCAAAGCGCGAACGGCCAAGGACTTGTAAAGGGGAGCAATTCTCTGGGCGACTGGTGGATTTGGTGAGCAAATGTTTGACATTTTTCACACCTGCGAACGTATTTCTGCGCGTCCGCCTGCATGCACGGCCACCAATAACCTTGGGAAATCGCTCGGTAAGCCAATGACCTGCCCCCAGTATGACTCCCGCAGATGCCTTCATGGATCTCATAGAGGAAAGCTTCTACCTTGTCGGGGTGGACGCACTTCAGATACGGCCTAGTAAAAGAATTATTGTATAAGGCTCTGGATGGAGAGAGCCAAAACTGCTTTGATTTGGCTCGGATTTTGTTGGCCACCTTCTTCTCTTCTGGCAAAATTCTATCTTTTAGGAAGGCGATGATGGGGTCCATCCAGGATGGTCCTAGGTCGGCACAGAGTACTTTGGACACTTCTGGTTCCTCAATGCTTGGCCGAGGTAGGAATTCTATTATCAAAGGATTGGGGAAAGCTGTTTGTGTGGATGCAAGGCCGGCCAGTTCGTCTGTTGTATTGTTTTCTTCGCGGTTGATTTGTTCCACTCTTATTGCGGCGAACTTTTTGATTTCTACGTGCACCAGCGCCTGATGTTTGGTCATTCTTTCATCCCTAGCTTCATACTCCCCAGAGACCTGATTGACCACCAGCTTAGAGTCACTGAATACCATAAGGGCCGACGCTTTCATTCTCAATGCGCTTCTTAATCCGGCAAGGAGGGCCTCATATTCTGCCTCATTGTTGGACACCAGGAAGCATAACGTAACTGTTTGTTCAATAACCAGCCCGTCCGATGAAGTCAGCACGAGACCCAGCCCGGCGCCATGTCTATTGGAGGCCCCGTCGATGAAGAGCTTCCACATCTCGCCAATAAACAACTTCCAGCAGTCCGATGGGTTTTGGGAGCTTCTCAACACCAAGGTTCCGGTTGGTTCATTATGGTCTCTTTCCATGTCTCGGTCGGGCTTGTCTTTTGATGAGTTATCCGGCTTCTCCACTTCGGCTTCCATTTGCCCTTTTTCCATTTGTGATCCAACATTTGTCGCTGTTGCCTGAACCATGGGCTTTGCCAAATCTGCACTAGCTAAATCAACTGGGCAAACCGGATACATTTCAGGGGCAAACTCTGCCACAAAGTCCGTAAGAGCTTGAGCCTTAATCGCGGTACACGGTTGGAACTTGATGTCGTATTGCCCCAATTCTATGGCCCATTTCAAAATCCTCCCGATAAAGTCCGCCTTTTCAAAGAGCACCTTAAGTGGAAACTCCGTCAACACAACTATTGTGTGGGCATGAAAATAGTGTGCCAGTTTTCTAGAAGCCATCATCAGGGCCAGGGCTAATTTTTCTAGCGGCAGATATCTTGATTCGACCGGGAGCAAGGTCTTGCTTATGTAGAAAATGGGAAGGTGCTGGGTATCGTCAGCATGGACTAAAACCGCGCTTACCGCATGTTGAGAGACTGCCAAGTAGAGATACAGTTCTTCGCCCGGCATTGGTGTAACTAGGATAGGGGCTGAGCAAAGGTATTCTTTTAGATCCGCCAATGCACGGTCACATTCATCATCCCAGAAGAACTTGGCCTTTAAAGTTTTGAAGAAGGGCCTCTAACGATCTGAAGACCGGCTTATAAATCTGTTTAGCGCAGCTGCCATCCCGGCAAGATGTTGCACGTCCTTCATGGAGTTTGGGTGCTCCAGCTCTTGTATCGCCTTGATTTGGAAAGGGTCGGCTTCAATTCCTCGGTTCGTGACCAAAAAACCAGAAAATTTTCGATGCCGACTCCAAAGGCGCACTTGGAGGCATTTAAACGAAGCTTGTGATGTTTAAGTGTAGCGACCATCTTTGCTAGGTCGGCGAGGTGTTGAGACTTTTCCCTGCTCTTTACCACCATATCGTCAATGTAGGCCTCCATGGTGCAGCCCAGAAGGGGAGCGAACATCTTGGTTACCATCCTTTGAAAAGTTACCCTGACGTTTTTCAGTCCGAACGACATGACTTTGTAACAATACTGGCCTCTTGGCGTGGTGAATGAAGTGATCTCTCGGTCTGGTGCATACATGGCTATCTGGTGGTAACCGCGATATGCATCCAAGAAGCTATACCTTTGATGGCCAGCGGTCAAGTCCACTAGCTGGTCAATTCGTGGGAGGGGGAAGCTATCCTTTGGGTACGCACGGTTGACCGTCTTATAATCAATGCACACCCGCCACTTGCCGTTCTTTTTCAGAACCACCATCATGTTGGATATCCACTGAGGGTATTGCACTTTTTCTATTGCCCCTGCTTCCAACAAGTTCTTGACTTCTTCCGCCACTACCTCGGCATGGTGCAAGGCCGAGCGGCGTGTCCTCTAGATGACCGGCCGTGCATTTGGAAAAATGTTTAACTGGTGGCAAATTAAACTAGGATTGACGCTAGGCATATCGTAAGGCATCCATGCGAAGGCTTCCATATTGGAAATCATAAAGTCAACGTACTCAAGTCGTTCTACGCTGGATAGGGATGAGCCCAAAAGAAAGAACTTGTTTGGGTCATTCTCGTCTACGCGCACCTCCACCAAATCTTCAACTAATTTCTCCTCGGCCTTTCTTCCTACGTCTTCCAGGACTTCCTTTCCCTCTAGGCCCTCTACCATTTGAACGAAGCCTTTGGCGGCTCGGCTGCCATTCACCGCAACGAAGCACTGTTTTTCCATTACCTGGTCTCCCCAAACCTCTTCTACCTTCCCGGTCGATGCCGGGAAGCACAGAACCTGGTGGTAAATCATACCTAATCAAGTTTTCAGACAAATACACCATAAAATCACATTAATTATGAGGATCATAAAACATCAATCAATTCCTGGTTCGGCCGCTGATAAGGCCTTCAATTAGCAGTTTAAACATAAAACGTGAACAGATCAAGTAAACAATCAAACAGATAGAATATAGATTAACACACATACTCAGTCAATTCAGTTCCAGTTTTCAGTCAGTCAGTTCAGTACTTTAATCAGTTCAATTTATCAGTCATAATCAGTCCAGTTTGACGGTAATCAATGTTTATCAGTAAGCAGTGATGAGGGTTATTACACATGCCCCCATCTATTTATTGGTCCAGATGCCCCACCTCCACCAGCTCCTTCAAATGTTGTTTGAGCGGCAAGCAATCCTCCGTTCGGTGCCCCCGTTCCTTATGGAAGGTGCAGCGATATCTTGAGTTGAAACCTCTTTGTGTACTCCCCAACTTGGCTGGCCAACGGACGAAAGGCTCACCTCGGATTTCACTCCGGATACGATAAATAGGGATTTTAAAGACTGTGGTGATACCAGTTTGATACCAGTTTGAGCCTTCAATTTTCTCTTGGCATCTTCCTTTTCATCACGGGGAGCGTTAGCTCGGTCGTTTCTGCGACCTTTGTTTCTGTCATCGCGGTTTGAGCCACGACGTTGATCTTTTGACCAGTCGTTTGGGCGGTTGTCTTCCTGCCCAACCAAGTGATCCTTCTTTGCCATTCTTTTGTCTGCCGCGATCGGGTTAGCCCTCTCGGTCGCGGAGGAGACATCATCCTCCACACGGATGTGTTCATTGATCCATTGCATCAAGGACTCCATAGTTGCAGGCTAGTGCATTGTAAGCGAATCTCGCAGCCTATGTCCGACTGGGAGACCTCGTTTGTATTGAGTAATCACCAGATTGGTGGGGCAGTCGAGGATCTCATTGTAAGTTTTTCAGTATTTCGCATTGTATGCCTTCAACGAACCTCCAGATTCCATCTTGATGCCCAGGAGATGGTCGACCTCTTTTGGTGTTCGAGTGTTGGTTTTGAATCTGGTGACGAAGGCCTCCGCTAATTGCTACCATCCCTTGATACTCCCCTCCGGAAGCCTTTCGAACCATTTCAGGCCCAGTTCTCCTAAGCTTGCTGGGAATATGAGGCACATCAAGGCGTCATTGTGCCGGTATCCAGCCATTACTTGCTTGTAATGACTCACGTGCATGTACGGTTCCATCTTGCCGTCGTACAAGGTGAACTTAGGCTGGTGGAATCCGACAGGGAGTGGTGTACTCTCGATTTCTGGAGAGAGCGGCATAGCCATAAGTCTCGCCAGCTCTTTGTCCACAAGCGCTGGGGCCACCACTCTGGGCGCTGGCATTGCCACTTCCTTACTACAACAGATTTAGGAGCTTAGCCTCTGCAATGCCGGCAATCTCTGAGTCTCCCTACGGTGAGCTCTTTCCTCTAACACATCCCTCAGGTCGCCGGAACGGGCGGAAAAGGAGTATCGCGACGTCGACGATGGGCGTGAGGGATGGTAGGTGCTGTCACGAGTGAGAGATTTGCCCACCTGTGAGTCGAAGTCCCCGACCCCATAGCTTCTGGTGATAGAGAGAGAGTGCGTCCTTTCTTGGCAGCGACTGCCAGAGTGAGGAGACGGGGTGCGCTCACTGAGGCTGCCTTCTCCAGCAATACCCTTCCCCTTGATCTGGCATTTTAGCACCTCCATTTTAGCCGCCATCTTACGAATGAGGGCGTCCTGGTCTTTGAGTTTGTGCTCCAGGCATTGCACATGCGACTTCCCCTGCCGTCGATGGCCCTCTGGACTCTTTGAGCGATCAGTACTCCTTGCGCGTTTATCTCGCGCACCTCTCGAAGAGGTCTCCAGGCCCGCCATGGCTGGGATAGCAGGGGGCCTTCTCTCCATCAAACAGATTCTGGTGTGACACCATCGACGACGGATAGTGGAGTTTCATCGTTGTTAGCCATGGAAACGGTCGAAAAAGCTTAAAGAGCAAGGTTTGAGTATCAAATTTTTTCCCACAAACATCGCCAATTGTACGGGGGTGAAATATCCTTTGCTTTCCGTACTCCTTGAACTCAAGCTTCACGCAACGACGCCTGACCTGAAGTCAAAGAAATGGTAAGCTGCCCGGAGGTGTGCTGTCGGATAGACCCTTCGACGATCAAGTCAGACCACTTGAAGAAGAAGAGAGCACTTTTTAGAGAGAGAGAGAATTGTTCAGATTGCTTACCGCCAACGTCCCCCATTCCTTCTTTTTCTAGGCTGGCCATGCAGCCTCAGGGATTATGCGCGCACTACCTCTGATGTTCTTCCCTGGACAGGTGGCAGTGCTCCCCTCTCACTACTTTACGCGTGTAAAGGCTAAAACCTCCAAACAGCATGTATGGAACTACCAAACGGTATTGACGTGTGCCAAGAGTGGATTTCCCCTCCATCACACCATTGGTCCAGGTGGCACACTCAATCAGGATATCATGACTGACGTATCCCTTAGGAAGAAACACAACCATGATTAATACGGTCGAGCTGTAAGAAGTTCATCTTTTCGGATTGACTGGCCGTGAGGCGTGCCAACCTTCACCCCGGTCTAAATTCATTCCGGGATGTGCTCGCCTCGGTCCAGACGCACCATTGCAGATCCAACCGAATATCTAGTCGGATCACAGCCCGGTCGGGCACACGCATGATTCCACACTCCGGTCGACAAATCTACCTCGGCCCGGCGTGACGGGCCGAGGAACTGCTTCGACCGAGCAAATAGTGTAACCCGGCTGCTCCGTTATAACCCGCGTTACTGTAGCTTGGCCGTACTTGTCCGACGCAAATCTCCCTCTCAGAAATTATAAGCCCCTCCATGGACCCAACAAAGGCTACAATGGTCACAACCAAGCAAACTGCTCTAAAAGCCTGAAACACAACCCACATTCTTGTCCAAGCCTTTATATTTCTTTGCCTGAGGTACATTTCCGCAGGGAAGTATATAGCCAAAGGCCAAAATTTCAAAGCACCCAGTACTCCTAAAACATCGTTGAAGTAAGGAAACAGTAAGGCGATTCATGTGGTAGATGCAACGTAAGTAGTTCTAAAGCATAGCCGGAGAAGATTCAATTTGAAAACTGTCAGCATTGAGAGCTTGATGGTGTAAACATTGTTGACAAATTCGTTGTCGGGGAGTTTCTTTGTTATCCATCTTTCTGCTTTAGCAAATAATGGCTGACTGTACACCTACCAAATGAAAAATATTAAAGAGAGATAGTGTATACTTACCAGCAAGAACATTAAGAAAAACACATTAAAATAAAATAAAATAAAATAAACAACCCTGAATTTAGAATTTAACCATATGCATCCACAAAATCCAGTTTGTGCTGTACTGGTTGACTTTAGTTTATACAAGCGTTAAGCACGCTAATCATTTTTAAGTTAGTCTAAAGACACTTGCATATAAATTTAAAGGATATATAGCTGATTTGTTTTTAGTTCCAAGCAGATAGTTATGTTTTTAGTTGGTTTTAAGTTAGGACAAGAGTTAAAATTTG